TAAATAATTATAAAAAATTAATAAAATTAAGAAAAATATAATTTCTCCTCTGATGTTTTAATTAGCCCATGAATAAAAGGTCAGTGAAGTTTCATGATCATTTAAATTAAAACATGATAGTTATGGGATATAAACCCTAGAAGCATAATGATAATTTTGAGAATTTAACTTTCTAACCCTAACTTAACTAACTTTTAGGATAAATCAGAGGGAAATGTTATTAAATTATGATGATTAATTCACTAAAATGATTGAAACATAAAGGGTAATGAGATGACACCCACTCATGACATTTTCTAAAAAGGGCAAAAATGATAATTACTTGAATTGTTATGAATAAGAAAAAATGAGAATTTAGATGATTTAAAAGTGTGGGGTATGAGTTAGAAGACCAATAAATCACTAATTTAAAACCCAAACAATGGTTAAACAAAAATTCAATCCTTTCAATATAGATTAAACATGTTTTACAAATTTTTCAAAATTACAACTATACCCATAAGCCTTAAGAGTTTGTTAGTAAATTAGGCTTGATTTAAGATCATTTGAGGAATAGTTAAGGGAAGAAATATAAGTGATAATGAAAAATTTTGAAATACTACAAGCTCAAACCTAATTGAGGGGTAAGAGTGTAAAATTCCTCAAAGACCAGAAGCACATCTTCAGAGGTTTTGACTTACATAACTCTTAGTATCATATTGAAGTTTATTATATGACCTTACTTATGGGTTAGTTAAGACATAAGACACTGAGCACAGTTCAAAGTATGATAATATGACTTCTAATTTAACATGTGATGATCAACTCGACAATATAGCAAGATCAAATGAAATTGAAATTGTCTAAAAGACCCTAAAGTTATTCAGAGTCACTCTCTGAACACCTTTGCAAGATTTTGGACAGTTGGGCTTACTATAGTTTGTTGAGAAAAATTATCCTCAAATATAAGGACCTGCCAATATATGATTTGAGATCCTTTAAGTTAATATACATAAATAAAAATTATCTTGTTATAACTTAACCTACAATAACATTAATGCTCGAGGGTTTGGGTTTTAAAACCTTATGCCTAAACTCTCCTTGCTAATTGAAGACATTTGAAGCATGGTAATTTATATGGACCATCGAATTGGCATATAAGTTGGACATGTTGGTGGTATGGGTGGTCATGAGAAAGACATCTGGTGATAAATTCATGATGAAAGAATAGTATTGTACCTCATGGGGCGAGGACCTTGTGAGGGAATAAGATGATACTACTATTCACTGACATGTGACAAAGAGAAAACCCTTGCTTTCTGAGGTTGTCGGGGGTTTTGTCCAGATAGTGTAATTGACTTGTGGACAATCTGATTTATAAAATGTATAATAAAATGACAAAACAAATACATTTTGCATGAAAACTGATATTTTGATAGTTAAGTGAAAATCTACCTTACTTACATCCATGAAAAACTATGAATTTTGGTGTTACATTCTAAATGTCCACTTGTCAGTCACCGAGACTGGGGTTAACGACTACTTTCCTTTGATCATCTCGCTGGTAAATTCTAGTTGATGTTGAACTTTATACACACAGATTGCCGATGGTTGCCTAAGAAGTCCTTCGAGAATGATGAATTTGATAACTCGAAATAATTATGTCAAGTCCAATCTTTCATATATGTCTGCCACTTAGTTTTATATAAATATACATGTTTACATTTCTCGTATAAAGATTTTAAAAAAATATGATGCTTGTGAGAATTGCAATTTCATCAGAGGCGACATGTACTCACTAACACTTCCCCTTTTACTACATTTTTCTGGCTTATGAAAGTAACATTACTATTCTACTACTTACTATACCTATAAAAAACCTCTAAGGTAAAGAATAATAGGACAACTGTTTAGGGAGAGCAATAAAGCAACCCTTGAGACCAAACCATAATTACAAGCTCAATCATAAACCTTAAACCCATAACCATCACAACTAAGGAACTTGAGGCGGACTTCCTGGAAAGGAAGACGAGGATGCAAACAGACGAAGAATGACTTCAGATGACAATCAAAATCAAGCATGAAGCAAGGGATGCTACTCAATTAAACTTTTCCTTGTCTTAAATAACATAAAACTCTATGATTTTGAGGTAGTTCGTTTAGTACGACATAAATTCATATTTTATATTTAAGCCTTTGCACAATCGTGTTGTGCAATAAAAGTACTGACACTTTTTAGGATTCCGAGGTTCTTTGTTCGATATGACGTAAACCATCATATCTTCTTAGGCTATTTGCACGACTGTATTATGCAAATATAAGCCCCATTTTTAATAAAATGGCGGGAGTAAATATCAAATAATATCACTTCCAAAATTTAATGCCAAAATCAAATAAGATAGCTCGGGAGGTCATTGAGGTTCTCCTCAAATTATGCAACATCCCCTACTTCTCGCTCCTTCGATTTCCAAATTAATTGTTCTACATCGAGCCATTTCCACCTAAATTTCCTATAAACAATCATGGAAGCTATACGTTGAATTATTGAAGACAAAACCCTTGATCTTAATCAAGAGTTTTCTTAGGCGACTTTGGTGACTTAATATGTAATTAACTATAGGGGATTACCTCTATATAAAATTAGGAACTTAGATAATCTATACCCTGTCTAATATTTATATTAGATAGGAGAATTATGGGTCACAAATTTTGCAGATCAAACTGATGCCATAAATTTCTTGGTCTATATAGTTGAGCATACTATCAATTGATACACACATCTCTCGGGATGACTATCATATGTGGTATCGTGCTTGATTATTTGACATATTAGACATATGAGATGTGTTCGATCTATTCTTTCAAAATTAAAATACTATTTTCAAATTAGAGATTATATACCTATTAAACTGTAACAAAATACATATTTTTCAAAATGACAAAAAATAGACCGACACTCTCGAGGGAAGGAAATACTACCTTAAAATAGGTTTGATCACTCAGATGATGAAGACGTTCATAAGTCTACATAACCATGATTTTTTCCATACCTTACAGGTGTAAGTTAAGGTTTATTTTATTCTAGAGTCGTGTTTTTTACAAGGGCAAACCCACAAAGTTAATTACATCTCCATACCAGTGAACCCTAAACTCTTAATTAATATAATGATTTAGGGTATTCAGATTATACTTTCAAAATTGAAGTGTTGGAGGTGAAGGAGCGATCCAAATTGGAAGAGTTAAGCTCAAAGGGTGAGGATTTATAATTTGAAGATAGTGTGTCATGAAATGACCCAGATAACAAGATTTAACCATCAATGGAAGGACGATTATCCAAATTATGATGATTGATAATGAGTTTTGATTAACTTAAGAACATTTGGTTGGACTGATTGAAGTTGTTGAAGCTCCTAAATTTGGGCATAAATTCAGGTAAGAAGGATTTCTAGATGGAAGCAAATCCATAAACTCTATAAGGAATTCTATTGAGCAGACTAACCTAAATTTTGGGAATAACATCCCCGATCACGATCCTAATGGATTTTCATCATCTTGGGCACTTTGATATCCTTCAACTATAACCAATCTCATAACCAAAAATCCTCCTTGAGCGCCATGATCATGACATGTGGAACATTTCATAGTTTCGATACAGTTTGAAATACTTTTGTCAGTAACCATGAGTTATATCATGCTAGGGTAATAATTCTAGTCTCAGAGGGTAGGTTGTTTGTATTATATGTTCTAGTCCCTTGTGCTAACTAGGGTACCTATTAGACTAACCAAGGTTTCTATACTTGGACTAACCTAGGGTCAGCTATGATCCTTAGTTTTGGTGTTTAAGTTGGCTAACATAGAGTTCATATTAGATCTGCCTTGGTTTGGTTTTTATTTTTTATGTTGGTGCGTTTTAGATGTTGTTTGAGGTTCAATGCTTAATTTGTGTTTTGTTCCTGCTCTTAAGTTTGTAAGTCATGATGATCAAAGTTTTCCCAATTTTTTTTATTTTGGTTTTGTTTTTTGAATTTCAGATATTTGTGATGAGAATTACTCATCTTGTGAGAGGTTCTCCTCCTTATTATTTTAGATATATATTTTTCTTATTTTAATATATTTTTGAAACTACACATGGAGTGAAACACATGAAACTAAACATGAAATGACATATAAAACAACATAACGTACAAAGCATAAATTTAGCTTGGGTTTGACTTAAGCTAGGAATGAGTTGAGGTAAGCTAGGGTTTCTAGCAAAACCCAACTCGAAATTGAGCTTGGGTATGAGGTGGGGTTGGCTGGTTTGATCCTAGATTGACCCGGGTTGGACCTGGATTGGCCTTGGGTTGACCTGGTTGGACCTGAGTTAACCTGGGTTGGATTTGGGTTAGATCTTGGTCGGACTTGGATTGGATCTAGGTTGGACCTGGTGGAACTTGGGTTGACCTAGGTTGAAACTAGGTTGACTTGGGTTGGACCTAGGCTGGATCTAAGTTGGACCTGAGTTGGACTTGGTGGAACCTGGTTTAACTTGGGTTAGACTTAGTTTGGATCTGTGTTGGACCTGCAATGATTGGGTTGGACCTACGGAATCTTTGAATAAAGACCGTGATAGAAGAAATGTTAACGGGGAACTCCTCACCTACTAGGCTGACTTTTTCGCTAGCTACCCCAACCAATCTCCCTTCAACCACCGTCACTCCCCATTGGACCTCATCCTCACTAATTCAACCCTGGCCAATCTAGTTGCCACTTCCTTTAACTGTTGGCGGGCGTTCGTGAGGTCCCTCCAGAAGTTGGAGCGCTCAGATTTATATAAGAAGTTCGACCGATACCATCCGAATGCGTGGAAGGCCTCTGACGTTCAATCATGTATTTATTTATTTCATAAAAATAAACAAAAACAAAAATTTATTTACATAGCATCCAATAATTATGTATTTATTTATTTTATACTTAAATTTTAATTTTTATATCTTAAGCACCCTGTTCTATGTAAAGGATGAATTAAGATATTTTCATATTTTCATATTTTCATACATATAAAAAATTTAAGTGATGAGTGTTCTGCCAAGGGGAGATCACCGGAGAGCGCTAGAGGCGTCGGAGCAAGGAGGTAATCATGCCCTGGGCCGTCTCTCTTCTTTCTCCTACTTTATTTCTGCTCTCTGGAATGTGGCCTTCATTTCCGGCAAAAGGGTTACAAATTGTGGGTTTATCCTCTTTTGATTATTTCCTCCATTGCTCAGGTGCGTGGATGGGAAAATCATGGCTTAATAGAAGGAGTAAATTTATATTTTGATTCCAACGCATATTTAAAATTTCAATTTTTCTTGGTCTAGATATGTGTAGGGGTTGCTAAATGTGATCGAAGTTTTTCTTGGATGAGATTTTCTCTCTGCAAGGGAAGGAAGACGCAAGTGCAAATTTAAGCTGTTCCGCAAATTGTGTTTGAAGTGAGAAGCGCACTACCACTACAGCATTTGTTAGTTAACAAACTATTGTAGGTTATGTTTGGTGCTTAACCTCAAATGGTTAATTTTAGGTAATTTTTAATAATTAGGCTATGGATCTGTATAATGTGTAGCGGGAGCTAAATTAGAATGATTTTTCCTGCTATTTTTTGCGTGAGATTGAGTTGGCGTGCATAAGTATGATTGCATTTAAAGTATTGTGGAAGGTAGTCCTAATTAATTAGTGTGATGTAGGTTATGGAGAGGAAAAGTGAAAACCAATAGGAAATAGTATGAAGCAAATGAAAAGATACCAGTTTAAGAATCATTGAGCTATTAATGTGGAATGTTCAAGCTATCAAGTTGCAAAACCCTTGAGCAAAAAAAAAAAAAAAAAAAAAAAAACCATTTAAAAAAAAAAAAAAATCCATTTCATTGAATTCACCAAAATAAAATTTTTTCAATGAATAAGTGATTATTTATAAAAATATCTTTTTTAGTCGAAGTACTAACTATTCCAAGGTCAATTTTGGGATAATATTCATGCAAAAAAAGAGAAATATAAAGAAGGGTTAATTCCTAGTAAAATTTAAGTTAAATACTTAAATAAAACCTATGATAAGAAATATAAAGAAGGGTTAATTCCTAGTAAAATTTAAGTTAAATACTTAAATAAAACCTATTTTATCATTTTCAATGGACGAAAAACTACGGCAACTTTTGGGGTCAAGAAAATGTATTCTTTGAGAGTAAGAGTGGTGAAATCTTTCAGGAATGCTGAAGGTTGATGCCAAAGGAGTAGACACAATCTACAAAAGGTGCATGCAAAAAGAGCGTCTCTATCTTGTTAGAATATTTATGCTCACTGAAAGTGCAGCTTGTAGAACCATTACAAATGATCCTTAAAATCAATCAAACTCTATTATTGATGTTTTGTCTTAGGTGGGAGATTAGGAGCAGATCTTCAATGAAATCTTTACAATCTCAAAGGTCTCCTTGTCTCTATATTTCTTTCTCCATCTTTTTTTTTTTAAATTTTAAATTTTTGAAGCTTACAGCGAGCAGAAACTAATTTTTTGATTTTTTTTTTTTCTAGTTGCAACATGCTTAGGCATAAATTGGAGAAACACAATTGAATGAGATTGATTAAAATTGGATTTTGGATTTTATAATTAGTTTAGTGGAGGAATTTTATGAAATACTTTGGGATTTAAATGGAATCTTAAATTCAAAATTAAATTCCTGATTTTAAATGGTTTGCTTAGATATTTTAGGAGCTGTTAAGAGAATTTAGGAGATGAGGGGTAGATGAGATTGGAGATTGGTGGAGAGAAAAAAAAAAAAAAGAAAAAAAAAGAAAAGAAAAAAAAGGAGTTTTTTTTATTCCTTTTCATAGGAGAGATAAACAAGTTTTGAGGGCGGGTGTCATAGAAATTTCTACACGACAACGACAATAACACCAATGCGTTTTTCCCACATGAATCCTTGTTCTCCAGTGTGTCCTATTGAGTGTCGTATATTCATTTAATTTTAATAGATTAAGATCATTTTTTATGCAACATGTCTAAGACTTTTTAGTTTCACCTCTACCTTACTTACCAAAAGTCAAATCTAAAACATCTACTCTCTTAACAAGATCATCAGATGGTCGACATTTACTGTGACCAAACCATCCAAGACCATCCAAGACAACTCTCTCTAATCAACTCTCTCTAATCTTGCTTGCCACTGGAGCAACACCAACTCTTTCAAGAATATATTCATTTCGCATTTTGTATCTAAGTGTAAAGCCACTCATCCACCTACGCATTCTCATCGCAGCAACACTCAACTTAGTTTTGTACTCCTTTTTTATAGGCCAACGTTCTGCACCATAAAGCATCGCAGGTCTCACAGCTATCTTATAAAATTTTCCTTTAAGTCTAAGCTGTACTTTTCTATCACACAGTAGGCTTGATGCATTTCTCCTTTTCAACCATCCAACTTGAATCCTACTAATAAGATCCCATCTATATCACTATCACTTTGAACAATAGCTCGAGATATCTAAAGCATTCACTTCTTTTAATGAATTTCACCCATTTGCTTTTTTATTAGATGGAAGAGGTGTTTTTGGAGAGAGAAAGATAGGAGGGTAAGAAACTGTAGGATATTGTTGTACCTTCAAGTTATCGTTTTCAAGTGAAAATAAAAAAAGTAACGAAAACTTGAACAAAATTTTAAAATTTTTCTCTAATACAAATTTGAAGCAAGATGCACATTATAATGGTAGAACAAATAAAAATTCATCAGTAAACAAATAGGAGAAGGGAAAAGAATTATCTAAACAGACCTTCATAATTGTTATCATTTCCTTGAAGATCTATGATTGTTTTCTTATAGGAAGGCATTACTTCAAGAATGGAGTTTGATGTAGCATTTGAAATTACTACAAATTCTCTAACAGGATGTAGATATTGCACACCTTCAAGAAATTGTAAGCACCTTTCAGGGAATGTTTCCTTACTCCTTTAGCTTTTTAGAGAGATTCCAACACTCATCCTACGAAGAAGAGTTCTTTTTGTCTTGATGGTATTATTGTAGTCTATCATTTTATTATGTTGATTTAAATAGATAGGGTTTTATTCATGCACTTGATTTCAATTATAATTAATGGCTAGTTATATTTAGTTTTCTTATTTTATGAAGATTATCTTTTAATTGACCTTTGGTGGTAGATTGTATTTTTGTATCTCTGATTTTCTTTTAATAACCCCATAATCGTTGTAAAAAATAATTTTATAATGATTTTTTCTACTCCTTCAGTCTTTTAAAGAATCCACCACTCTTACTTTTGGAAGGAGAGTTTTTCTCACCTCAGTGGAATTAATGCCGTGATGCAGGATGCATTTAGTTTAGTAATTCATAATTTTATATTTATGGATGTATACTGTACCGATGAGTCTATGTATGAGAATTTTATGTATGCTGAGATATTTTAGTTTTATTTTTATGTATATGAATCTTTATATATTTTATTGGACTACTGTGTCAAGATGTTATATTTTGAGTCTATATGTGCTAGGCCTTTTCTCATAGTCTAGCCCATGAAGAAATTTTATGTTATTAGGATGGGTGATATATATGATAATGATGACGGATATGCTAATTATTATAGTCTTGATGATGATGGTAGCTATATTAATGATGGTTGATATGATATAGTAAGCATGAAAGTAATGGTAGTAGTTAAAAGTTTGGTGGTGGGTTTGTACTTAGTGTCAGGTTTGTGTTTTTTTCCTTGTTCATTTCATTTCATAAATTAGAGAATCTTTCATAATATTAAGCACTTGATTATTGAACATGGCAAAGGACTGGTCATGGAAGTAACCTTCATTATCATCGGTTGCATTAATGGTTTATGTAGTTTTCCCTATCAGAATTTTGTTTCCCCTTGTTATATATATTTTTTATTTTCTTCTAAAAGTTATCTTGTAATTAGCTTTGGTTTGGGGTAGTTTGAAAGCTTAAGGGCTGTTCGGGATCATTTTGTTTTTGTTTTTATATATTATCTTTATTTTTATTTTATTTATGCTTTGATTTGCATTAAAATATGTTTTATTGTGGTACTTGTTTTTTAAAAACACTCAAAGCAAATTAAGTTTTGAGTGTTTAGAAAATAAAATTATTTGATTAAAAAAATAAGAATATGTAAAAATTGTACAGACCAAATATGTTTTCAAACATAAAATAGAAAAATTACATTAAATAGAAGTGATGCCAGACGAGCTCTTAGATATTAGAATCTGTATAAATTAGTAAATAACCCCATATTCATTGAAAAAAAAAAAAACTACATTATGATTAATTTACTGATTTACTGAAAATTTCCTGTAGTCTTTGTTTTAGCTTCTTCCTTTTCATGGATTGAGGATTAAAAACTTGAGGCCTTTATTTTGCCATCTTTCCATTTATTTTTTACTTTTTTAATGTTCTGGATAGATTTTTCCATGTTTGCAATATTGTTTAACATGCGTATTTGAACCTTACTATTACCACACCTGATGTTAAGGCCGAGTTTTTATATTGTTGCATGCTTTAACAAGGAATCTAGCATTTGTTGATGAGCATGTCAGAAACATACGTTCACACTAGTGAAAATTATTTTTCTATGCTCATATTTTTGGTACGATTATGTTATAAATATGGGTCATTACTAAAGTTGAAGAGCTCATGCTGTAATTGATGGATTTTTAGAGCTGAAAATGCTATTGGCTTTTTTAATGAGGATGCAAAAACAAGAAGAATATCTTTAACCAAAAGCAAGAGAGTGGGAGGGCATGAGAGAATCTTGCTTTAAATATCTTCGCATTCAGATCATTTATCAAAATTCTCTTACAAGCATCATCTATTTAAAAAGATTATTTTACATCTAAAAAAGGTTAAATAAAAGGAGAAACATTCTAAGCAATCAATACAAATAATGTTGAATCTTTCATAAAATATATTTCTTATGAAGTAGCTTTCTTAATGAAGTTACTCTTGATTGCACATTTATTACATGATAAATTTAGATGATGCAGATGATGTTACTCTGGGTAAGGCAAATGATTAAATGTTGGGTAGCTGGTAATGTATCAACTCCCTTATGGTGTGAAAAACTCTTCCTTGATGATATGTATGA